CCTCCACTGGGCCAGGTTGCTCCAAGCCCCCTCAAGCCCAAATTTCAAGCACTGTGTGAGTTATGGGACTTCCAGCTTTGCAGATTATTGAATTGTTCAGATCCCAAAGGGCGACTCTGGACAAGCCACAGAGGACAGAGATGAGCTTCCCACCCGAGCGTGGGGTGACACCAGCACTGGGGTAACCACAGGTTTGGGAGCGTGGGACAGGGTGTCCTTGAGAGACCCTCAGACACGGGATGGAGCATTCCCGGAGGCGCAGGAGGGAGGGACACGCCGTGGGCGTCAGCAGCGCGGCCCAGGGGCCTTCGGGGAGAGCACAAGGAAGGTCTCCCAGGAACCCAACAAAGGAGCCCCGGCCACGAGGACACCGATACCGAGAAACCCGCAGGGCGAGCAGGAGCCGAGCCGGCAGCGCGTCCCCACAGCTGCAGACCAGGGATTGAATTGAGTCTGTAAATTAAATTCCTCAAGAAATAATGAATCGCGCAGGCTGGTGCTCCGGCCTGGGGATGTCGGGGACAGCTCACAGCAGCAGCTGCCCAGCCAGGGGGTGGGGGCACAGGCAGGGACAAGGCTGGGGGTGCTGGGTGGCTCCAGGAGCAGAAACTCAGGAGCTCAGAACTGGAGACACAACCTGGACTTGGACACCAGAAATCCCAGAGTCATTTAGGGATCATCAAGTCCACCCTGTGCCCCATCCCCACCTTGTCCCCCAGCCCAGAGCACTGAGTGCCACGGCCAGTCCTTCCTGGGACACCTCCAGGGCTGGGCACTCCAAACCTCCCTGGGCAGCCCCTGCCAAGGCCTCACCACCCTTTCAGTGAAGAAATTTTTCCTAACACCTAATTTTTCCTGGAGCTGCTGGAGGAAAGAGCCAATCCAGCAGTGCCCGTGGGGATTTGGATTCTCCGTCCCAGGAGGAGGAATCCTCACTGACAGGACAGAAAAGTACCAGGATGTGGAGTGGGAAGGTGGTGGCCAAGGCAGACTCCTACTTGGATGGCCAAAGCAGGGCAGAGGGGAATCCCCACAGCCAAACCAGGAGGGAGGAACAAAATACTGCAGGTGCCTGCAGAAGAGGGAAATCCGTGACAACTCCGTGGGCAGATGCCAGGCAGGCTGAAAGCTTTGACAAGCAACTGCCTCAGGGGATCCAAACCAGCCCCAGAGCCTTCCTCAAACAATTCCAGAGCAGGGGGCACCACACAGAGCTCATGGGGCCAAGGGGTGGTCCTGGCCAAAGGGGGCCCTTGGGGCAAATGGAGCCTGGAAAGAGCAGAGGGGTAAGTCCCTGGATCTTTTGGGTTTTCCCCAGCACAGGAAGGACATGGAGCTGCTGGAGGGAGTCCAGAGGAGGCCACAGAGCTGCTCCCAGGGCTGGAGCCCCTCTGCTCTGGAGCCAGGCTGGGAGAGCTGGGGGGGTTCACCTGGAGCAGAGAAGGCTCCAGGGACACCTCAGAGCTCCTTGCAGGGCCTAAAGGGGCTCCAGGAGAGCTGGAGAGGGACTGGGGACAAGGGATGGAGGGACAGGATACAGGGAATGGCTTCCCAGTGCCAGAGGGCAGGGAGAGATGGGAAAGAAATTCCTGGCTCTGAGGGTGGGGAGGCCCTGGCCCAGGTTGCCCAGAGAAGCTGTGGCTGCCCCTGGATCCCTGGAAGTGTCCAAGGCCAGGTTGGACGGGACTTGGAGCAACCTGGGCTGGTGGAAGGTGTCCCTGCCCATGGCAGGGGGTGGGACTGGATGGGATTTAAGGTCCCTTCCCACCCTTGAGAAAGCTGGAATTGGCAGCCCCACCCTGGAATCATGAGCCCCTCAGATCCACAAAGGCTTCTGCATTTGGAAACTTTCCACTGGAAATGGAGGTGCCAAGGTCAGTCTGAGAGTGGCATGTGCAGGGAGAGGACAAGGAGTCCCTCCAGCAACTGGAACAAGTGCAATTGGAATAACTGAGCTGTCCAACAGGAGAATGCATTCCAAACTTTATCTGACAAGCACCGACCTTGAGAGAGCTGGATGGGGATGAGGCTGATGAAGTGAACCCTCAATTAACGGAATTGGTGGCGTGAGCGGCGTTTGTTCCACTTTGCTGGGGAGTCAGGGTTGGCTGAGGGACACAGCCAGGGCCATGGAACAGCCACCAGCTCCCAGGGCCATGGATCATGTCAGGCTGGCTCTCCTGTGCCAGGGAGAAGATCTCTGGAGCCACGGATCATGCCAGGCTGGCTTGCCCTGTGCCAGGGGGTCCTCCTGTCCCCACAGCCCCAGACCTGGGGGCTCCTGCTCTGGAGAGAAGAAGAAAAAAAAGAAACCACTCCACTCCTACCCCTGGAAGGGGTTGGTCCCTTGGCTCTGACACTGAGGTTTCTGTGAACTTTTGGCAGGAAGTAAAACCCAGGAGCCTTGGGACAGGTGGGAAATGAGGGTCCCCACCCTCAGTGTGGCCCAAGGGGACACGAATCATTCCCCTCACCAGTGCTGGGAGCTACTTCCCCAAACAGCCCCAAATCCAGCAGCTCTAAGCACATCAGGAGGGCTCAGGAAGGGATTAGGAAGGGATTAAGAGGAAAATCTTTTACCAGGAGCTGTCTCTGTGCTGGACCCCCAAGGGCTTGGGGAGGGGGGAGACACAGGCCACCCCCAGCTCAGACACCCTGACAAAGTCCCAGTTTGGTGCTAAAAATGGGCTTGTTGGGATAATTCACAGGAGAGGTCCATTAGCTGGACAAATCTACTTAAGGGAGTGAAAGAGGACGATTAATCACTCTGGGATGAAGGCTTGGGATAATCTCCCAAGGAGCAAATAATTGGGCATTAAAGTGGGGGGGAAGACTCTGAGCAGCCTGTGGATCAGTCCTGGCTCTGGGGGCTTCCCCATGGGAACCACAGCACAGCCCCCAGTGCCACAGGGCTCCCAGGGTCCCCCTGGACAGGGTCCTGGATCCACCAGGGAATGGGTATTGGAGGTTTGGGGAGTCATGGCCATGTGCTGTCCCTGCCACAGATGGGCTTCCAGGGGGCCCCAGTACCTCCAGGGCAGCCCGGGAAAGTGTCCTGGGAAGGGGAGGAGAGGGGGGGACAGGGAGGATGAGGATGAGGTCCTCCCACAGGAATAGGAGGCTGCACGAGGCAGCCTGAGCACCATTCACCTGGGTCCGACAGCCAGATAAACGAGTCCCTGTCACGGCACTGGAGTCGGGGCTCACTCCCAGCATCCCCAGCACTGCATCCAGAGCCAAACCTGCAGCATTTGGCCCTGGGGAGGGTCAGCCCGGGCCAGCTCGAGGCAGTGTCAGCCCAGATAGGCACTGTCACAGCCCAGGGCACAGGACCCAGCACAGCCCCGGGAATGGGATCTGGCACAACCCAGGGCACAGTCCCTGTCATGGAAATCACCATCAATGTGGTTTTCACAAGGTCAACGCTCCCAGCCCCAGCAGTGCCAACAGATGGTGCAGCTGGAACACTGGAGAGGAGCAGATCCCGCAGCAGGACCCAACAAGCTTTGTGGGACCCGCTGCCACCCCCACCGGGACACCAGCGCTCAGGTAACCCAGGTAACCCGGGTGCAGGACACGCCACTGCTCCCCGCTCCATCCCTGTCCCGGGGAGGGGCCATGTCCAACAGCAGCTCAGGAAGGAGATGGCTGTGGGGCTTGTCCTTCCCATGGTCCTTCCTGCTGTATCATCCTGATTTGGGGGTGGTTCGATGCTGGGATGGTTCAAGGGCACTGTGCTGGGGGGACTCATCTCCCTCTGCTCAGGAGCTGGGGGGGCCACACAGGCGCTCAGAAAATGGCTGATGGATGTCCTGTCCCATTTCCCCCTTCTCTCCTGCCCCCACATGCTCCTCCCTTCCTACCCGAGCCAGGGGAGCCTGGTGCCCAGGGCAGTGACATTGCCCAGGGGGGAAATGCTCCCTGAGGCCAGGATGGCTGTCTGGGCACAGGGACCCAATGGTCCCTGTGAGCCCCTTCCAAGGGATGTCCCATGGTCATAAAGTAACTGGTGGATGAATCCCAGTGTGCTCATGGCACCCACTGGCACTGGGAAACCAGGAAGAGCCTCCTGACCAACTGGGGACTCTCTTGCTTGTTGTCCCTGTACACCAGGTCCCGCAGTCTCCGCTGCTCCCAAATTCCCAGCACAAACCTGTGACAGTCCTGAGGCTCTGGCAGGGCCAGGAGGGAAGTTACAGATGTCCCGAGCCTCAAAGGTCTGAATTTACTGGGAATTGTATGAACTTACCTTACACCTCGAGGTTTGTTCCAACAGTCTGAGCACAAAGCATGGCTACAGCTCGACCCCCTGAGCTCCAGCCTGTGGCCAAAGGTGTGGGGCTCACCTGCGGCAGCTGGAGGCACCCAGAGGTCATGGAATCATGGAACAGTTTGGGTTGGGAGGGACATTAAAGCTCATCTCGTTCCACCAGAACTGGCCCAGGTGAAGGTGACACCACTGGAGCTGGCCCCAGGCCCCTTCACCTGCTGCACCGGCACTGGGAGTGGGGACACGACCCAGCACAAACCAGTGCTGGACTGAGAACTCGCTGTGACACACCAGGAGGTGACAGGAGCAGCTGGAGCGTGTCCCTTTCTGCCTTGTGCTGTGCCTGGGCTCCCAGCACCACACCCCCGAGCCCACCCCAGCCCCGTGAGCTCCCAGGAGCTGTGCACCCCACAGGACTCATTTTGGATCACACACAGGTAATTCCATGTTCCCAATGTTTATTGCTCCCCCACCTCTCCCCACAGGTGTCAGAACTTCTGGAACTGCTTCTTGGTGCCCGCGGCCTTGGTCACCTTGAGCACGTTGAAGCGCACGGTCTTGCTGAGCGGGCGGCACTCGCCCACCGTCACGATGTCCCCGATCTGCACGTCCCTGCAAGGACACCGGGGGGTCAGGGGCTCCCGGGGCTCCCCTGTCCCTCAGAACCCCAAACCTGGCTGTTCTCCCCAGGAGGGAGCACAGAGCTCCCACAGGTACTGCCCAGAACCTGCCCCATGGTTCAGCACATGCCAGTGGCGTTGTCAGCAGCCCCTCACCTGGGGGACTCTGCAGACCATCGTGAGTTTGGACATCATCACCTGGGAGCAGATTCCTGTGAGGAGCTGGGCCATGAACCCACCTATGTCCCACCCAGGTGTGCCCTCACTGCAGCTTGTATGAGTTCAGCACCACACACAGTCAATGTGGACAGGTGAGGGGACAACCCCAGCACACCTGGCACAGCCCAGGGACACCTGCACACATGGGGACAGGGGCACAGGGACAGCTGCACACGCCTGGAGCAGGGGGACAGGGGCACAGGGACAGCTGCACACACCTGAAGCAGGGGGACAGGTGCACAGACATGTTCTTGTGGCGCTTCTCGAAGCGGTTGTACTTGCGGATGTAGTGCAGGTAATCGCGGCGGATCACGATCGTGCGCTGCATCTTCATCTTGGTCACCACACCTGGGCCACGGGGGACAGGCACAGGTATTCCTCCATGTTTACCTGAATCCCAAACCCTAACCTCCCTCTGGGGTGCTCAGTGTCCTGCCAGGCCACAGGGCAGCTACTCCCTCCCTGCCAGGCCACGCCCTCCCCATTTCTGTCACAAACCCAATTATGGCTCTTTTTGAAGCCCTTCTAACACACTCTCTAATGCTTCCTGCACCACCTGCTCCTGCCCTAGAGCAACACCTGCCCCCCAGGCACAGCACACCCGGGGGGTCCCTGCCAGCACCTGGTCCTGTCACCTGCATCAGTGAAGCCAAGTGGCAGCGTCGTCAGGCCCGTGGTGGGCTCGGCAGACCATCGTGAGATCAGCATCATCTGCGGCTCCAGGACCAGGGCGGGGACAGGCACTTGGGCAGGTTTCCTGCTCCAAGGACCTCAGAGGCCCTGGCTGGTTACCTGTGCCAGGACTCCCCTGGGATTCCCTCGGGGATGTCCCATCTCACCTGACAGGATGCGGCCTCGGATAGAGACATTCCCAGTGAACGGACACTTCTTGTCGATGTAGGTGCCCTCGATGGCCTGCAAGGACAGGTGGGTGCCAGGTGAGTGGACACGGTTCAGGTGACACCGGAGCTCAGAGGACACTCATTGCAGCAAGGAATCATGGAGTGGTCCAGGTGGGAATAGCCTTGGAGAAGACTGGCTCTCACCAGCACCACCACTGCCACCACTGCCCCTTCCCAAGTGCCATGCCCACCCTGGGCAGGGCCCTCCTGGGGGCACAGCTGGGGGTCACACAGGCCCTGCCCAGGGCCCCCTCACCTCCTTGGGGGTCTTGAAGCCCAGCCCCACGTTGCGGTAGTAGCGAGGCAGCTTCTCCTTGCCGCCTTCGCCCAGCAGCACCCTCTTTTTGTTCTGGAAGATCGTCGGCTGCTTCTGGTACGCGCGTTCCGTCTGCAGGGGGCGGGGGGCTGTCAGCGTGGGGCCGGGAACGGGACCCGGGCACCGGGCTGTGGCACCCTCAGCACCGGCGTGGAGCCGGCCCTGGCCCCGGGGCACTGAGGCCCTCCCCCGGGCCCCGGGGGAACAGAGACCTCACACAACCCCGGGGCACCGGGCCCCGTGCCCTCCCCCAAACCCTCGAGGCACCGGGACCCTCCCTCCCCCTTCTCCAAACCCCGAGTCACCAAGACCCACCCCATAAAACCCCGGGGAGCACCAAGATCTCCCTCAGCCCCGGGGCACGGGAACCTCTGCCCCCACCCCGAACCAGTGGGGCACCGAGGTTCCGCCCCCTTCGTCCCTCCATCCCGGGGACACGGGCCCATCGCCTCCCCCCGGCCCCCAAAACCCCAGGGCACCGAAATTCCCTCCCCTCCCAAACCCGCGGGGCACGGGACCCTTCCCCGCCACCCCAGGACCAGCCATCCGTCGCCCCCACCCCAAAACTCCAAGCACCGGGACCCCCCTCTCCCACTCCCAGCCCCGGGGCACGGGTCCCTCTCCCGCCCCACCCCAAACCCCGAGACTCTCCCTCGGCGTCCCGCCACAAAACCCCAGGGCCGAACCCCCCCCGCGCGCCGCTCCCGCCGCCCCTCTCCGGCCGAGGCCGCCTCCCCCGCGCCCCGCCGGCCGGTGCGGGGCCCAGCGGGGTGTCCCCGGGCCGTGCCGGGGGGTCCCGGCGGAGCCCCCTCAGCGCCCACCTGCGTGTCCGCCATCTTGGCGCGCGCGGGCCGAAAGAGGCCGCGGAGCACGCGCGGCGCGGGTTAACCCGGGGGCGGGGCCAGGGGCGGCAGCGACGTCACGTGGCGTGTGACGTCACGGGGCCCGTCGGGTGGAACGTGACGGGGAAATGGAGCCGGGGACGGGACCGGTCAGTGCGGGGGAACCGCCCGAGCGGGGCGGCCTCGGCACCCGGCCCAGAGCACCCAGTGCCGGCCAGGCCTTCCTGGGACACCTCCAGGGATGGGCACTCCAAACCTCCCTGGGCAGCCCCTGCCAAGGCCTCACCACCCTTTCCAGCAGGAAATTCCTCCTCCTGTCCCACCTGAGCCTCCCCTGGCACAGCTGGAGGCCGTTCCCTCTCCTCCTGTCCCTTGTTCCCTGGCAGCAGAGCCCGACCCCCCCGGCTCCCCCCTCCTGTCAGGGGGTTGCAGAGCCAGAAGGTCCCCCCTGAGCCTCCTTTTCTCCAGGCTGAGCCCCCCCAGCTCCCTCAGCCCCTCCTGCTGCTCCAGTCCCTTCCCAGCTCCCTTCCCTTCCCTGCACACGCTCCAGCCCCTCCATGTCTCTCTTCCATGAGGTTCCAGAACTGGACACAGCCCTGGAGGTCCCTCAGCAGTGCCAGCACAGGGGCACAAAATCACTTACACAGTCCTGCTGGCCACACTGTTTCTGATACAGAAATTACCTCACCTGGGCTGAAAACCTCACCTGGAGATAAAGGGATGACTGGGAGTTGCTCACAATCAATTGGGAACTAGGAAAAAGTCTCATCCACAGGGATATGAGGGCTGGAACGGAGCATGGTGGGGGCAGGACCCCCGGATTCCAGCCCCTGCCCACCTCCTCACTGGAGGGGAGGTGCCACTGGGATCTGACCACAGCAGGTTCATCTCCCTGCACTATTATTTGCTATCACTTCATCCTGTTGATTCCCAGCCCTGGTGTGCAGCTGGAGCCCCAGAGCCAGGCTCTGCATTGCTGGGTGGGTGACCTTCCATACTCCTGGGGAAAAAAAGGCTGGAATAAAGCTCACTCTGCTCTCTCTCCCCAGTGTTTCCATGCTGTACAACTGGAGAAAAGCTGCAGTGGACACACTGAGTGACTGCAATAAAAACATGAACTATTGGAATCAAAAATATGGATGCTCTCCAGCCACTGCTCCTGCAGGACATGGAGGGGTAAACAGGACAGGGAATGGAGTCGCTGCCCTGGGGCACCCACCAGTCCCCCCAACAGCCTGGGAGGTGCCACCACTGGGGCCCCATCCCTTTTATCCCCTTCATCCTCATCCCATTCCCTCATCCTCATCCCATCCAATCCCACCTCTATTCCCATCTTCATCCTCCTCATCCCAACCCCACTTCCATCCAACCTGCATCATCCCCGTCCCTAACCCCATCCATCCTTACCTCCATCCTCATCCCCACCCCAGCAGCACTGGGGAAGCTGTGGGGCGATGGCCATGAACAGGGAAGGGGTCCCAGGGGTCCCAGGTGGGTGCTGGACAGGAACTGTCACAGCACCAGGGGGCTGGAGCCCCCACACCCCCACACCTGGGGGGCCAACACCAGCACCTTCTCCATGTGCTGCCGCTGCCCCCAACAGTCACAGCTTCACCCCACGGCTCTGGCAGCACTCGCTGCCCCATGGCCACCCCCCGAGCCCCCCAGAGCTGAGGAGAGGCAGACGTGGGGTGTCTCAGGCCAGCAGTGCCCCGACAACAGCACAGACAAGGGGACGATGCCCTCGACCAGACCCTTTATTCCGAAGGGTTTTACACAGCACAGACACACACGGCCCCTCCCCATGCACGGCCCCCCCGCGCCCCTCCAGCCCCACACCCCAGGGGTTGCATAGAGAGCAGCTGGGTGGGCACTGGGGACCCCCGGGGGGCCGAGGGGGGCAGAGCCAGCCCGCCCCGCGCCCCCCCGCCCCTCGAGCCCAGGGGACCCCCAGGGTCCTGCCCTGCCCCCCGGGGCACAGGGTGGGGGGCGGCCACTCGTGTCCAAAGTGCAGCCCTGCCTCAGCCCAGCTCCGCCCCAATAAATTAAAAAGGTCCAAGTCCGGGGTTAAAAAGGGGCCCGGGGGGTCACTCCTCGGGGGGCTCGGTGAGGAAGGGGGAGGTGACGGCGTGGGCCTGGGCGATGGCCGCCAGCTCCTTGAGGAACTCGCTGAAGATGACGGCACAGTACACGGCGTTGCGCACACGCAGGGCCTCGCCGTGCCGCGCCGGGGGGGCCAGGGGAGGCAGGGGCTGCAGCCCCCCGTCCCGCAGCCCCTGCAGGGCCAGCTGTGCCGCGTGCCGCGCGCGCGTCGGGCTGTTGGCGTGGCGCAGCAGCAGCTCCCCCAGGGACGGCTTCCGGCTGCGGGCTGTGGGACAAGGGGGCACATGGGGGGTCGCATCTATGCCCTAGTGCACCCCCAGACCTCCCCCAGCCACTGCATAGACCGCTCACCTCCCCCAGACTCACACTCCCCATGGAGAAACCCCAGGGCTCCCCAGCTCCCAGCACGGACCCCAGACCCCCTGTTAACACACCATGCAGCCCCCAGCCCTCCCCACAGCCCCCCATACTATGCGCAGCCCTCAGCCCCTGGGCAATGCAGGGGGCAGCCCCCAGCCCCTCCCTATAACCCATGCATCCCCCAGCCCCCCCCACCAGCCCACAGCCCCCCGTGCAGACTCCAGTGCTCTGCACAACGCACTACGCAGCCCCCAGCCCCTGGGCAATGCACAGGGCAGCCCCCAGCCCTTAATGCAGCCCCCAGCCCCTTGTACGGCAGAGCATGCAGCCCCCCAGGACCCGGCCCTGCCCCCAGCCCACTCCACAGCCCCAACTCCCTGCACAGCCCCTATTGGTTTCACACAGCCCCCAGCCCCCCATGCACCCCCAGTCCCTGCCGAGGCCGTGCCCTCACCCAG